TCAGGAGTTTATCCAGGAGGATCAGCTGATCCTGCTGCAGGATGGTGACCTCTGGCAGAGACACAGGACAGAGACAGCTGCTTCTGCTCTCCCAGCTAAACCTGCTTAAGGCGGTGGGTGGGAGTTGTTAATGCCATTATTTGTTTAATTGTTGGGCTAATAGGTTTGTGTGTGTGCGCTTTATTACAATAGAATATATTAAATAGAAGCGGAGGAAAGATTGAGTGTGCTACTTTGGGAGCTGATTTCCAATTGTTACTCCTTTTTATTAAGGAGACACTAAAAGGAAAAATAACCAGAAGCATACTCTGCTTTAAACTCTCCAGTAAAAAGACAGCTCACCCTGAAATATCTGGTGCCATGGGGGTGGGCAGTGCTTTTAGGAATACAGGGCAAAGGTGAATTTTTAATTAGCCTGGTCGTCTTATTTTCCTCCAAGTATAGATTGGCTTAGCTTTTTCAAGCTTAGTACTTGAGAATAGGCAGCCAAGGGTGCTCTGGGAATTATTTGCTCAGGAAGTCTTTTAGAAAATTGGGAATCCAACAGTTATTTCTATTTCAATAAAGAGAGGATAAAGTTTTAAATGATGATAGCCTTATGGAAGTGCAGCTTTTTCCCTTTCCCACCCCCCTCTGTAATACTCTTAATAAACAAAATAAAGATAAAACAAATACTTCACAAGCTACCGCAGGGATCACAGTGGTATTTTGTGAGGTGCTGTGGGAGCTATATTCTATGCTCAGGCCCACTCTGAATCTGCAAGTGATGGTCCTCTCAGGAAAGAAGCTGAGGGCACTTGGCAGTGGAAAGTATCTTGCCCATAGTGAAGATGGTGAGAGAATTGGCAATGAGGAGGTGACTGGTCATTCTGCAAGGTCTGGTCTGGGGCCAGTTTTCATTTTCATCTTGTTCTCTTTCTGTTTTTCTTTCTCTCTCGCTTTTATTTATACCAATGAGCAAATGTTGCTTATTTTTAGCAGTCTTTCCATTTTGCTCAGGCACTGATCCTAAGTAATGGAATGCCTATGGCCCTCCCTCAGGCACTATTCCACCTCTAATAAGAGCAAACAAATGCAAGCTTTGGTGTAGGGAGTTATTGATTTGGTTCCAGGCAAGTAGGTGTGTGTGATATATATAAAAGGTGCCCATGCATACCATGTGTTAGCACTCCAACACCGTATGAAATGGCCTGGCATAATCTGCCTTGGGCTCATGGTGAGAAATTGTGTTGTGCATCTCCATAAAGAAGCCTTGAAACTTGCTTGTTTTAAAGGATATAAATCTCCCCCTGAAAGTGCAAACACCTCCAAACATGCATACCCATTTCCACTACTAATGCAAGGTTCAGTGCAGACAGTTCCAGTTCTGGGAAACAAATGGATCAATTAAGAGTTGCACAGATAGGGGTAGATGCTGTAAGCCCCATTTTTTTCCTTTCTGATTTGGATCTTACATCAGATCTTAATTTTATTGCAGAGATGCTTACACTAGGGATAGTGGAGTCCTGAGGGAAAGAGTTATGGGAGGGCTTCCACTGAGGTGTGGATGTCCAGGGTGCCCTGCCACATAGATTAGCAGCTGGCAAGCCACATCTTCCATTGAGTCTCCTAGCAGCATTATGTCTTCTTTCCAGTGACTTTATAAACTACCCCTTGTCTAAACCTCTTTAGTCTGGGGAAAAAAAAAAGTAAAGAAGGTATATCCAATCTGAGACAACAAAGCTTATCCTTTCCTAGCCCGACTCAAAGCATATCCAAAAGAACTTCAGAACAAAGAAGAAGCATCTACATATTTAAACTGCAAGGAAAGAGATGCAGAGTTTTTAGGTCTTGCCCATCCATGCTAGTCCTGCATCCCCATAAGGTACAAGGGATTTGCTGGGAGAACAAGAGCCCTTGGTCTCTGTTACCTACTTTGCATCAGCAGTGCTTGTCTCTCCTAGACATGTTTGTATTGCTGTCGATGAAATGATTTCTAGCTTGTGCCTATTTCAGTTCCAGCTGGAAGGAAAGCAGGTGAGGAGATTGTCCCACACCTTCAGTGTTCCCGAGATCTCACTCAGCCTATAGGTATAGCTGCATAATGCTTGGTTCTCTCAGCAGGCTGAGATTAAACACTTGCTGTAGGTTTTTGTCTTCCCAGTTTTCAAGCCTGACTCGTTTTTATAGGGTTACGAGTCTACTTATGTGCATACTTATGCTGGCAGAGGAAATTAATTCTCTGCTAATGGAAGGAGAAGAGTGGCTAGGGAAACATAACTCAGGCACAGCTAGAGCAACCAGCGGTCCTGTGCTTAATCTACTAATGCCATGTCTGTGCAAGTATTGTCACTTTTGCCACTGCTTGGGAGTTTCCATTGACTGCAATTGAAATATATTGGACATGGAGAGAAGAAGAAACCTTGTTTAGGTAACAAAGTAATGCTGCCTTTTAGAGAGACCTAAATACCTTTTTTACCGTAGATCTTTGTAGTCTTTCCACCCTTTCCACTGTTCCAGTTGCTGATGGTTTTATTTGTACTCTGGCATATCTCTCTGCTGAAGCAAGTCCTCTCTGTGCCAAGTCCCTAATTTGGTACTGTCATTCAAGATCCAGCTCTTATTAACTATCCTGAACCCGGTGGAAAGGGGGAAGGTGTCTATTCTGAAGCTTCTCTTTTAAATTTAGCTGTATTTGCGTGCTATGATCTGCACGCCTCTGCTCCCAAATTACTAAAATTGCAGCACAGTTGTCCAGGGCTTATTTTTCATTAAATGACTCTTATAACTGGTATTCCCATTAATGACTATCTTAGTCTGAAATGCAGCAAGACATTTAACATGAGTGGGATATGATACCCACCTCAAATAAATACAGTGCTGCATCAGTAGGTGTTTTCATATTTTCAGGTAAGCAGGCTGGTGTTGAGGAAAAAGGTTAATCTATTAACACCTCTGCTCAAAGCAAGCCAACTTCCTTACTACATGGAATAATTATTTTTTCACATAAGCCCTTAGTGCCTCTGCTATGTTTGCACTTGTAAGTCTCAAACATTGCAATACAGATAGCCCTTTATGAGTGGAATCTGAGGTCATGTGTCTGCATTTCAAATTTAAAATCACTGTGCATGGGCTACCATGCACTGGCTTGTGAATGCTGTAGGTGTAAGGACTATGGACCCATATTTCAGGTGGGAAGAAAGCAGGGCCTTTTTTAGCACTTAAGTATGTGCAACTCACAGTTATGAGTGCCTTTGGCAAAACTTCGTAAATTCTCTTGATTCATAGCTGGCACACCATCCATATGGTCAGGATTACATATAAATATGTATCTGTCCTACACATAACAGAACCATTTAGAGCATCCCTGCAGCATGAAGAGGAAGTGAACTTGGGCACCAAATTCACTCTACCTTTGTGAAAGACTTGCTGGGGAGAATACTGAAAGGCCTTTTGTCTGTCACAGTCCAGGGCTCACCGGAGATTTTAGGTGGCTGGCAATCCATGTGTCTGTTTATACAACTCCAGCAAGGATTAAGGGTCTTTAACCAATCACAGTTCAGACATAGGTAGTGGTGGGAGCAGTGATTGTAACCAGCATGCCAAGGAAGTACGAGATAGGAAGGCTTCCATCCTGCATCTTGGATCCCGGGGCTTTCATGGATAAAACGTTGCAGCTGGAGTTGGAGAGGGTGTAATGACACACAAACTTTTGGTTTAATCATCTTCTAAGGCATGCCCAGGGCTGGCTTACAGAAGATGAAAAAAGCTAATGAACCCTGAGGAGGACTGATCTGCAGCTGTCTTCAATTTCTTCCTTGAAGGAGGTCTTTTTTCATTGCATGTATAACCACTGCACGTTGCTGCTTCAAGCAGCTGTGTCTTGGCTGCTCTGATATGCTCATTGCTGGAACTATCTCTTAAAACTCTGGCCAGCACCTGAAAAAATATTATTATTTAAGGTGACATTAACATCCAGGTTCCAGCCACAATTTTGAGCTGGGTACATGACAGTTGAAATAGGAGAGGCTGTCTGTGCCCTAGAAAGCTTGTTTTTCTATCTGCAGACACTTAACTTTGAAAGAGGAAATGGGTGAAGCTAAGCAAGCTTTTTTCATCCAATGTGAGCTGACTAGATGAGTCAGGGAGATTCTTAACAGGTGTGAGATTGCAGTAAGATTGGAGCAATCTGGCGGAACTACCAAAAAGTCTGATTTGAAATTCCCAAACTTTTGTCATTTCACACTCAGTAGCAGGGCTAGGAGAAGGAGCTCGGGAATGGAGCATAAGACTGAATTTATACGTTGTGCTGCTGAACTCTGGGAACTGTTGGTGTTGCACCAATAGCACGATTTACAAGGGACATGCCCAAGGGATCTAGAGTGACTGTAACTATGCCGGTGCAAGAACTTGAATTCAGAAATTGAAAGGGCACATTCACAAAGAAAAAGGTTGCATTACCAACATTTGTTAACCAAAATATGATAACTAGCTTGGGGTAAGAGCTTAAGGCTGTCCTCTGTGCTAACAGGCCCATGTAGAGAAACTGGGTGAGCCCTGGAGTAAAAACTGCAAGCTGCTGAATGCAATGTTCAATACTAGGCTATGTTTTCAAATTACTTCAAGTAAGGAGTCCTTTTTGTCCTACCACATAGGAGGTATTGAGATGTTTTGCAAATATTGCATATTTGTTTCTGTTAATATGTTATTGGCTACTCGGTAATTTGAATAAAAGGTAATCATTGTGAGAGGCTTTAAAAATGAACTCTTTACAACTGATCATTTAATAATTATTAAAGATAGTGAAGAAAACCTGAAACATTCAGTAGTTTTAGCAGTAAACCTGAGGAGGGTATCTTCTGAAATCTTCTTTTTGTTGCAAAAACGGAGGCAGGGAATTTATCTTCAACTATTGCTTTTGGAAAACATCCTTGCTAGCAGTTCCTTTTTTATTCATAGAATATCCAAAAGAAGGGAAAAGCTCCTGAAGAAAAAACAGTTTTCAACTCGCAGCTAAAGGTGTTAATAGGACGCTAACGAAGCATAGCCTTTCCGAAGCATAGCTGGCAGCATTACCACCCATCTGTGCCGAGTGGGATGTGCAAGCAGAAGTCAGGGCTGAAAACCCTCCACCTGTTTTCAGAAAGTAAGTGAGCCCACACTGAAGTTACTCAGCGTATTCGCTCTGTCTTCAGCAGTCCGGGTGATGTTGTTACTACTACTTTTCTGCTGTCTCATATCTCCCACCATGTGCCATGTGCCAGCTGATAGGGGAACTGTGACATACCACACCCCCGCGGCCAGGAAGGGGGTCACATGGACTGCTCTCATCCAGAGCACTTTAAAGAAACTGATAAGCTCTATCTCATTTAACTTGGCCTTTGGAAGACGCTTGTGGAAATTTCTGCAAAGGAGGTGACATCAGTTGTTGTCACAGCTGCTGTGTAAGTCTGCAAGGCTGCGTCTGTTCAGTATCTGCCTGGGGTGTGTATGCGTGTGCAAGTAGATATTGTTCATAGATTGCATTTAAATCAAAACCAGTCCATATGAAGCTGGCAAGAATGTTCACTAGCTCGGAATAGGTGCATTGCCATTGAGACTTGAGGAAAGGATGGAGTACATAAACTTAATACAGCACAAAGACGACTAGCTTTGGAGGGCTGGCGGGTACATTTGAAACAAACCTTCTCCCTGGGGAATTCCAAGTGTTAGCATGTGGGACATACTCCAGCTGCTAGCTGCTCAGACTTAAAATAAACCAGGCAAAATCCCATATTCAGGCTCTACCAACTGAGGCAAGCTGCTATTGCAAATGTTTCATCTCCCTTTTTCTTTCAGTTGGGTCAGAATGACAACAAATATTTTTGAAAGGGCATTTAAACCCTTAGTGTTTCACACAGCTTTCCTTGTGCTTCTCTATAGTGATGTGTTTCTCAACACAGTTGTAAATTTAGCAAAGAATCTGGTTTGTACAGGTTGAAACACTGTCCCAGGAAGGCTGGAATTAAAAAACAGGGTGAGAAGGAGTATTTCTAGCTTGTATGACAATGGCATTGCTACCAATACTGCTTTCCTAATCCTAGGCGCTTTAAAAATCTCAGCATGACTTCATTTACAGAGGACTATTGGCCTTCTTGAACTGTGGAGACCCTTTTTCTTAAAGAGAAACACATGTGACTTAAGGATGATTGCTTCTTTTTTCTTTCTTAACATATTGAAGAAGAGGAAATAATTTAATGTCTCTGTGGAAGACTCCATAGAAGGATTTCAGAGAAAAAAAAAAAAGATGTCTGGGAGTTGTATGATTGTTTGAGAATATGAATAACTTTGAGGAGGTCTGAAAATAGACTAAAGTACTGTTTGCTTTGTCTTGTGGTTTGAAATTTACTTCAGGACTTTTAAAAAACTTTATTTTAATAACTCTCTGACTATAATTTATTTCTAAGGTACTGAGATAGATGGGAGGGGTGGGAAACAATCAACTTAATGCAATCTATGCAAATAATGTCTAATTTTTTTTTCAACAGTAACCTATGTGAAACTTCATTCATCAAGACTACTCAGTTTTTCTGTGATAAAACCTGTTGTGCAATGTAATACACAACATTTAGGAATTCAATGCTCTTATTACTGTCAAAGCATAGATATTAAACTCTACCAGTCAGCTTGAAAAATTTATACAAGTGGCTGACATGACTAACCTTCCTGTTTCTTCTCGTCTTCCTTTAGACACAGACACACAAATTCTTGTTCAAAGCAACAGGCTTATCCAGGATATATTTATAAGGGTGAACTCTGCCAGGCTTTGGTTAATCATATACAGTGCTGGGAATATCTTTTGAAGGTATCCCGAACACTGTGACAGAAGTATTTGTCACTCAAACTATTTATAATTCTAGGAGTTTGGAGGGCAGATAGATGTTTATGCTTTTTCCTATGAAATGGCACATGTGCCTTTTGCACAAAAGACATTGGCCATGCTGTATAGACAGGCAGATCTCGACCATGCTGTGTTTGTGAAATGCCACGTTTACACCCCAGACACACTTCTGGCTACTTGATTGACCTTCCTGTCTTAGAATGACTTTGTAGCTCTGTGAATGTCAGCTTGCTGTGATTGGAAGAGGTCAATGCAGAGTACCTAAAAAAATGTGAAACTGTTCTCCGTGTAGCACCTTCATTAGAATATCTTTAAGGGCTCTCAAGCTGAATAAAATTATGAGCTCCAGTATTAATCACAGTTTTTTTTTTTTTTTTGATGATGTGTAAAACTATACTAAGGCCAGTCAGCCTTTGAGAAATACGACTGATAAGCATCACGAGCTTTTTTCTTTATTTTCATAACCACCTCAAGCAATTAGTTTTGAGGACTTCTTGGCAAAGTTTACGTGCAGGTTATCCTTTGCTCCTAGTCCTTCCTACGTCTCTTGAATTATTCTTAACTCTGTGTTTCTGGGAGTCGTGGGCAATGTATAGACACAACGCCTTCAGCAGGCACGCAAGGAATGTTATGAGGGTAGCAGGCTTCTCGTTTCCCTGGTCACTCAGAAGATTTATGTGCCAGCATAATGAGAATGAATGATTAGCTGTTGTTCATTGACAGAGACCTTGTGGGTCTGTCTGCGCACAAGAGGTTTTGGGAGTTGATAACCTTCGTGCTTCAGGCTTTGTTTTGAATAGATTGAAGTGGAGAAAATGGTTATTGGTAGATGTAAAACTGGACAAACAAACTGAAGGGTGTTAGCCAAGTTCTGGCAGTAAAGCTGAAAATCTGAGTTATTTATACAGCTGGAAACAGGGTTGGGGTATTTTCATTATTTTGGGACACAGCATTGACTTTTATAAAGTTATGGGATGCTCCTGCCTAGGATTTCAGTCTCTTCTATTTTTTAGGTCGCTGTGAGACACTGTGATGTATTACAGTTTTGGCCTAAGTGCCAGCCAAGTATAAAAGGAGGGGCCAATTTTGAACTCTGAAATTGAGAAGTCTCTAGGTCACTCTAAAGTTGCCCAGAGACAAGGCAAGTTAAAGTATCTTTTTTTGCTATTCAAAAGCAAGATAAAATGTCCATAGACAGAACTACTATTACTAGTATATAAGTTATTCACTTCAACACCTTTCTCATATCATATCAAGTTAATGACCATTTTGTGTGTCTGGTATACATCCAGAACCCCTGTTGTAAAGTCAAGGTTGTGTGAGATAACCCAGTTTGCATTAGTAAATGCCGTAGAACACTATATTATTTTGACAAGTATCATAAAGCTACATAAACCATATTATTAAGAATTTTTTTTCTAAAGGATAAGAAGTAAAGACTAAATACTGAACTCTGATTTTCAGGTATATTACATATACCTCTCTCACCTTCATATCATAATAGCAAATTATTTGGAACCTGAAAGATAAGAGCCAGATTTTTTTTTTTGCTTTTATATACCTAAAACATGGCAATCTTTAGAAGAAACCTAAGTATTATCTCTACAGAAACCACATTAATTCCAGAAGAAACCTCTGCCTTGTCTGGTGTTTGTTTTTTTTAATATCTACTTCTTAAAAGTTTTGGCTTTCTTAATGGTTCCAGCAGCTTCATGTTATAAGGTTTTGAAGCTTATTTAAAGTTTCACTATGTATTTTTGCATTTTCCTCAAGAACTCAAACTGTGACTTAAGGGCTTATGTCCTATTCACAAGCTACCCATGTGCAAAAACATTCTTCTGAAACATATGGGAAAGAAATGGGTGCCTTTACACGCATGCCTGGAAGGTAATTGGGAATCACTGTGCTCCATTTTTCAAAAATAAGAACCATAAACCCTCCTCCTGGCATGGCACAAAGCACGCACGTTTCCTCTCTGAAAGGCATAAACTCTGCATTTCTATGCGTACCTATAGATATGGTGGTTGGAAAGGCATTTGGCAGCGTTCCCTTAACAACAGTCACATCACCATCCTCCTCTGTGCTGGCTGTAGAGGAGGCAGAGCATTGTTTAGCCCCCGTGCTGATGTAGAGCAGCCCTGGGAGTTTGAGGCATAGCTGCGTGCCGTGCTTGGCGCTGGTGTGATCCTCGAGTGTGCTGTGCTCAGTACGGACAGTCATCCTTGGTGAGGTGATCCAGGCTCTGCTGCAGGCAGGAGAACCAGCCAGAGCAGCCCTGTCCTAATGCATGGTGCAACCAGGCGAGAAGGAAGGGGACAAAACTCCTGCTCATCTTTCCTAGGTGTGTACCTGTGCCTAAATTATTTCATTCAGCCCTGAACTAGTAATGGAAAATATCACATGGCTACAACTCAATGTATCATAGTCTATGTTTGTGACTGAGTTGGCTTGAGTTAACAGTACCTTTAGAGATACACTGCTTGCAAAACATGCACCACTAGCCAAGGTATGCCTTTTATCAAGATGGGTTAGAAATATCCAGTGCTTCCCTACAGGCATGTCACTACCTGTAGCTGAATTTAATAACACTAGATTAGTGTAGTGTGGTTTTTACTGGATTTTTTTTCTTCCTTCTTTTGAATCTGTTTACTTAATTTTCCTACCATCAAGAGAAAAACACAGCTCTGAATACTTGCAAAAGCAGGGTCAGATGGTGAGACTGGGTTGAAAGAAGGTATTTAGATTCTTCGGCTGGTGCTCAAGAGAGCTGTGGGCTCAGCTATGCTACCCAGCCAAGCACACTATAGAGATCCCTGAGCTAATGCCATGATCGGAAGCTCTGTTAGTGTTGTTCTGTTCTCCCTGGGCTAATTAACAGAGGTGCCTCTCAGCATACCTAATTAGCTCCGTTCCTGCAGCATCCTCAGGGGCAGGGCTAATTAGCGTGGGTGCTTTGCTGTACAGATATTGCCTCTGGGACCTCAGCTAGCATCCGTGCATGGCATTGCAATGTACCATGTAGACAAGCCAGTTTCCTCAAAGCTACCTCAGGATCTCTAACAGCCCTTTGCTGTGCAGACTTGCCTGGTGCATTAATGAGACCCCAAAAGCTTATGCAGGGAGAAGGATAGCAACTGGGGATGTGGGGTAGAGGGTAACATTTTGGGACACATATGTTTCAGGATTAGTCCCAGATTCATTTGCTTCTACTTTACATCTACTTCTTACCTTCACCTCTATGTCTACTTCTTACCTTTTTAATAAAA